GCTTTTGTACAGGATTAGTAGAAAATAATATAATCAAAGAAGCTGTCAACCTAAATTGCTATAGTAAGAAGATAGAAATAATGGCAAAAAATGAATTTTAAGAGTACAAAAAAAAGTTTGCAACCAGATCTATAAATAAGTTTGAAACATAAGATATAAAAAGATCATAGAATAAGAGCAAGCATAAAGAATTAATAGAAGAGTGAAATACAAGAAGGTTTAATAAGAGAACAAGATACTTTATAAGAAGATTTTAACCATGAAATTATAAAGTAAAAAGAAGATGAAAGAGAAAGTGAAAACAAAAACCTTATAGAAATTATAAGAAATGGAATTAAGTATAGAATAAAATGGTCACTTAGTAATAAAAATAGTAGGTACCCTGCTAATTGCGCAAGGAAACTTGGGTATACGTATTTTTCTCACGAAGATTCCAATGTATAGCACAACCAGTAGTTCAAGTGCATATCTTACCACAAACTGAACCATCCCTCTTTATATGTGGACAGGTAACGCGATCTGATGTTTATATTTTTCTTTTTTAATTTCAATTATGCTTAAATAAAAAAATAAATAGAGCTTGGAGCCATAATTAATTTCGAATTGAAAGAATATTTTGCATAGTATATAACCTAGCAAAGTGGACATGAACTAATTATGTGAATGTAATCGAAATGTCAGCTATTGAAACAAGAATAATCAAAAAATACAATCTCACTTGAGAGATGGATGTATCCGAGCTCGATCGGTATACTTCTGAATTGCTGAAAGAACTTACAGATGATAGAAAGCAGAATCAATCACGAAGACTCCTTCGAGATGGTTTCAAATTCAGTGATGAACAGGTAAGCATATTATATTAATTTCTGCTCAGAAAAAAGGTCAGCGAAAAGGCGTAAATATTATAACTCTAGACAAAGCCCCGATAAACCATCAGAGAGTTAGCACAACGGATTTTACAAGATAAACTTAGTGAAAAGGATGTAAAGGCCGAAGCAATAAAGTTAGCTAAATCGGCATTGAATGAAGTTGCTGGGTCCTCTAGTCTTTCCCGACTTCGAAAAAAATTACGAAATCTTAATGCTCCATATAATATAGTTGAAGCGACAAAAATCTTTGAGATTACAGAGAATTCTAACAAAATTCAGGCAAGTCGGCGAAAAATCGCTGAGGATTTTGAAAAAATCGATTATCCAGATTATGTTATAAATTACAGATCCAAAGGAATTAAATACAGTATATTTACGTAAATCACATCACGTTACAACGAATCGATGTTATATTAATTAAATCCGCAAATCAAATATCAGCATAGAAGTTCGAGTAACTATTTTTTTTTGCTGCGGTACCGCTTACATTGGATTGTCATTACGCACCCTTATATAAGAATACACGCTCGAAAAGGTAATAGCCTATGGGTTTCGAAATCGCAATCCCCTAGATCGTCGTATGCTAAACCTGCACAATCAATATACTATAAAAAGCCACTGATCCACTTGCGGAAAATTTTTCATTTTCTTTTCTTCCATCATCTATCTTTACTAGTCAGATACATAAACGCATCGCATAAACCAGATTTTTTTACGCCATATATTAATATAAAAAATGTCTTCACACGCTTCTTCACCTTCCTCACACCCTCCATTTTGGCGGAAGAAATTGTGAAAGATCTAGATACAGAAAAGCTTTCGATTATTAACAAAGGCGGAATCTAAAACTTATTGAATTATTAACAAATGCGGAATCTAAAACTTATTGAAGCGGACTCAAGATCTTACGCAATGAAAGAATTTTTGGTTCTGATTCTCTTGAGCTAACTGAAGATAAGTTTGTTTGCCTTAGGTCCGGCAACAAAACTTACGAAATTTATTGAAGAACTTACGGAACAAAAATTGCGAAGTTTCTCGTCATATAAAACATTGGACAAACTGAAAGATGTACTTCGTAAATATAAGCTTAATGGTGAGGATATAACAAATATAAACAATTCAACTCGGGTATGTGGTATTTTTTCTCGATATTTTTCCGGGACCGCACGGTCTCGCAAATTTTCTTGGCAAATTCCAAACATATCATAATTTTATTTCTCTGCTTTATAGTTTTTAAGGAAATCGATGGCGACGACAAAGCCCTAGAATAATGCATGAATGAAATAACGCTGAGACTTTCGGCTGGAGACAATGCAAACTAATGCTAACGAAGCCACGCGTTGTGTATTTATCACGTCGATATTAAACGCATCTCTGGCTATCTGGACGTGTCGATTATGCAATAAAAGGAAATGAAGATCTCATGTGTATAGCCGAGGGTAAGCCTCGTAACGTTGAAATCGGATATCTCCAGAATATCGTGCAACTAGAGAGCGCATACCATACAAATAAGAAGAAGCGTACTGCAGATGAGGCTTTCCGGGATGGTGATTACGATTATTTCTATGGGATATTAGTCTCAACAGGTATTAATATCCAACTATTTCCGTAATCGAATTTTTAGGCTGTCGTACCTCTTCTGATTCACAAATTTATTAATTTTAGCCACAGAATGGCATTTCATCACTTTTACTATCGATGGTCTATATTGCACCGTTAAAAGCGAATATCAATAAACCTCTCCAAAACGGCATTGAAAGAAGATCTCGATTCTATCCGAAAAGGTGTGAAGCGAGTGTTGGGAGTTATTGTTGGTTTATTAAATGATCGGATATCTGTTGATGACTCTCCAGCTAATAAAAGGGCCCGAATCAAAAAAATTATGAATAGATAGTTTTATATGTATTTTATTGTATCAATAAAATAATCAGATCTTAATGGTCGTTCTTTTTCCGATAAATAATTTTTTATAAATCAATTTTGAATATATCTGTATTTTATTTAAAAAATGATTTTATTTAAAAAATGGCAAATACACAATCTAAGATTGATTTACTTGAAGAACAGAATTCTAAACTCGTAGCTGAGATTGCCGAGCTAAAAAGGAGAATGCCAAGATATCCGAACTTGAAAAGAAATTTGCCGAGGTTAAAGCTGAAAATTCGAAGCTGAAGCCGATTATTGAGTTGAATGTAAAGCGCGATGCTAGAGTTGAGAAACTTGAGCAAAAGAATATAGAGCTTGAGACCAGACTCGATATATTAGAACATGGAGACAAAAGCATTTATGCGGACGTTTCGCACTCTCCAGTAAATTCTAACGATACTCCAGTATCAGATATAACTGATAATACTTTAAATTCTAACGAGACTCATTAACAGATAATCTCAAGTAATGAGGAGTCCAACACATCTAATCATGATATAAACCAGGATTCAGTAACACCCACATCATTTGCAAAGCAAAGCGGCTTACGTCGTCTGGAAGAGAATGAAGAAAATGAATTTCCGAATTCAAAGCATAGAGAAATGATTAATTCAAAATATTAAGAAGAAACCTCGAAATCAAGAGAAAATCATAGCTTCCCGGGACACCAAATCTTCTTCAAGTATAAAAGGTGGGCAGGGGTCGATCCAAGAATTATTTACTCCAGAGCCGTCTCTACAAGAAGAAGCGAAGCTTCGAGTCTTCGACTCATCGAATATAATTCAAAACCATCTAATTAATATTTCTGAGATCAAAAAATTAGAATTGGGTCCCGGAAATTTATTAAGCAAACATTTTATTATCACATCTTGCCGTGCGCGAAACGTCTAGCCCAGTTATGTTATAAACTTTTGATGCTGAGAATGGTGCAAATAGAGCTAGCCAAGAAGAAATCTTACGTTTGGTCTATCTACGGAAAAGATTTCAGGGTTCAGTTCAATGAGATTATCATTAGTATCCTTGATCAAACGAGACTATTCGCAAAGTAATAATAAGGTATATTGGTTTTATTGTTCAGCCAGCTCCTTGAAACACGTTAATCGATTTCCCCATCTCTATAGATGTTCTAAAATAAAAACGAACATATTACTTTTATTATATATATCGGCATCTTGATCTTCGACGAGAAAATCACCGACCATCATCACGCGTACAATAGTTGTCAATTTTTCTGACATAGGCATCTACACGTGCCGAATTCTTGAACTCGTTCCGGCGATAACGGGTGAGAGTGATATTCTGTAGATATGTGCTGGAATTTTTATTACGAAAATCTAGTATAATAAGAGTGTGGGTTGAGAATCTCGTAATTAGCAAGTGATAGAAATAAATTAGGTGTAGAAGTTTATAAAAATCCTGAGAGAGCAAAGAAATAAATTGATACTGGGACTCGCATTAAATGACCTAGGATCCGCGTACTCCCTCCCTCTTCGCTATCTCTTTTTTTTTTTATGTACAAATCAGCTGAACCGTTAAGCGATTGAGCGCGTGATACACACTCTTGTCAACTGATCATGAACCAACAACTCTAAGGCTGATGGGGTAACAGCAGTTCTTCAGAATGATCGGTCAGTGCATCACCTTCTATGTGACAAGTCACGACAGGTGCCCTCCGTGAGAATAACCGCAGTTTTTGACCAACCCTGCCCTGACCTGACGTATAGGGTAAAGTAATCCTGCTTCTTGAAGCAAAATAATATTAGTAAGCGGTCTGAAAAATTATTATTCTGTTAAAATACTTACAAGGCATCACAAGAAAACTTGCCCTGGATGTTGAAGGCGCTCACAGTATAACTCTGGACAGCTAAGCGTGAGCCACAACTTCAAGAGCTGAGGGTTAACCAGCAGTTCCTCTGAACGCTCAGCAGTTACACTGTCTTCTGTGAGAGAATCTACTGCAAACAGGCCTTCTGACGAAGAATAACCGCAGTTTTTGCCCATCTGTGCCAGATCGCATCTCACAGGATACGACTTGTCGAGTATAAGGAAATTTTTGTTAAACAGAAAGTCGGGAACCGTTGTATTTATATAGTTTTATCACGTAGTCACGTGAAAGTACATAGAACCAATCAGATGTGGTGATCGCTAAATAAACGCGAATCTAAACGCGAAAATTTAACGTCGTTATTCATACAGTATATCTCGATGGATTCAAAGAAGGATTCGATTTCTGAAAAAGAATACAATTTTTTTGTTAATGAAGAAAGGCCGACACCAACAGAATTTTTCAAAAAGTTCAATTGCACGTCGAAGAAAACGGCTGCCTCAATTTGGTATTCCGCTCTCAAGGAGGTCCTCACAATTCGTGATGATCTCAAACTTGTTAATATCGAGCAAAACTACAAAGATGGTAAATACAAACAAGCCATTGACGATTATTTTAAAACAAGCGTTCTTGAGAAGGAAAAGGTTTGTCAAATGTTTTTGTGGTGTATCGTGTCTAACGTTTGTGTTCCCTAATTCTCTCACAATTTTTCAGACGTATATTGATAAGACATTAACAAAAAAAACAAGTAAAGCAATCCAAAGGCGCATGAGCGATCTCCTTCCGGAGGAAAATGGTGATCAAGTTCGCCCGAAAAGACCTCGTCTCCTGAAGGAGTCGCAACAGAATGATAATTCGATATTAGATTCGAAGATAAATCAGTCTTCTGAAGATTTTGAATATCATGATACCAGGAAACGGCATAAGATTTTTCATTCATGGGAAGATGTAATTGATAAGGTTGATTTCAGAGGCACTTCTAAAGAGGATGTGAGTACGCGATGTGGTCAATGTTTCATTGCATTCACTTTATATATCAACTAACCACACTTACGCGCTTTTTCAGTGGATCGTTGAAGGCTGCAATCTTTCTGATGAGTTTCGGAACTTTCAACAGCTAACAATTCGACAAGTCAAAGAAAACCCGTATTTATGTTATAAACAAGACATTCAAAAAATTCTGTGAGTATCGCATTCCATCTGATTCATGTAATTTTATGACCACGTTCAACATTATGTTTATTATTCTCATGTTAAAATAGTTGCCTATCAAACATAATGCTCATCGAGCGTACAAAACCTTCATATCTCACTGTCACTTCAGCAATTTGGGACAAAATCTTTCGAAGACAATTAGCTCCGAGTCTGTCACCGGTAGTGAACAATATGGCTCTCGAATATTCTTCCGTGAGTTACTTTTCTTATCTCAGATTCAGAGTTAGATTACAAGAAATTGACATTAAGCATTTCTCCTTTACTCTAGATGTTGAATTCTTTTGCATTAATGAGGGATATTCAAGACGTATGGTGTGCTAATTTTTCCAAAGTTGCAGAATTGAATGATCAAGACAAGGACAAATTCTGTCAGGCTCAAATCATTTTTCGAAACTTGTAAGCGTTGCACCATTATAAATTATAATTAATGTAACGCTGAATGGAATATTTTCTTGCCATAGTTTATTACTGAATTCGAAAGGCGTGAATACCAATAATGAGGATACCTTTGTCCATGAAACTTTGCACGATCTATTTAGAGAAATTTTCCACGATCCAATGTTTGAGTTGATATGGTAAGAGTTTGCGTTTGTAAGTTTACCATGTGATTGTCGAATTATCTGATTAATGTCTAGTTTAATAGGGCGAACAGCGAGAGTTCTAGCAGTACTAGCGATAAGGAAAATTCTCGAGGTAAAAAACCAGATTTCAAAATTTTGACCAATACAAGAGATGAGATTCTTTTTGGTGAAGCTAAACCGAAAGACTCATCATCTATATTGATCAATAAAGATTTTGTCAAGCTTTCCAATTTCCAAGCAAATTCTTTAGACGAATTAGTCAAGAGGTACGGGAACAGGATTGGATTGGTTTCTTTCGGTATTTGGGTTTGCGGTAAGTGCTCAATTTTGGTTTGACTTTTTAATGCATTTACTAATACATAATTGATTGCATTTATAGGCGCACGTATTCGCATCTATGAGATAGATATAAATTATGACGGAATTTATAGAATGTTCTTAACAGCAAATGTACTCACCCCAACGGAACAGGCGCAATTTCTAAGTTTGGTGCCAGTGTTAGAAGCATTATATAATGTTAAAGTAAGTAATAAATAGTAGCTTCTTTTTACTAACTTTAGTGCAAATCTCCAAACCATTAAACACTTTGTTATTTAAGGACCGTATTTCTGAAACATTGAAAATAATCGCTTCTAGCACACCACCTAGTCCGTCACGTTCTACCTATTGCAGAATGCCCATCTCCTCACCTAAACCTGCCAAGATTGCGATTATTGGCCTACCATCAAAATAATTAATTCTATACTTTCTGGGCTAGAATCATATTTATATCCTTA